TAAATTATTCACGGAAATGTGGCTAGGAAGTGACTTCCACATAGAGACATGTAAACAGAAAAGTTATGTTGCGTTTCAGTTTTCACCACTGTATAATATCTGTAGAAATGTACTTCAGTCTCTCTTGAACGCATTCACACTTCAATAAGTATTCCTCATGAAATTATTTTCTGCAGTTATGTATTAAAATTTCTTTTTGGACAAAAATACTTGCATGGAAACTGGGACTATATATTTTTGGCGTCAGATTAACAAATGAGGTACCAACATGGCTTTAACTGAAAAATCAACTGAATGAGTTGAATTGGATTGTGGGTTACTACGGATACTAACAGGAATTTTACGCTTGGGGAAAAAAACCAAATCTACAGGCGATCGGAAAGACACAAAAAAATTTCCATGCATTTCGTAGATGAAAAGTAATCTGTCCATTTTTATTCTATTATTTCCATGCTCACAATTACAAACATTTGTTAAATAAACGTGGAATTCTAGCTTTCTTAAAACCAAACTGTAAGCGTCTGTATTCCTTTGTTGTACTATCGGTGAATGCAATTGTCAGGTGGGTTCCCTGTGATCACGGGTATTGTAATGTAAAAAAAAACTTTGTTGCCCATTTAACTATTTAGATGCCTAAGAGATGCTGCTCGTTTTCCTTAACCTTGAAGTGCAGGTGTTCTGAACGTGGCACAGACTACATTTTATTATATACATTTTCTAGTTAACAACGTAACAACAAATTGCAAACGCCCGTGAAATCTTTCATAGTTTCTAATCATTGTATTTTTTTTTCTCATAAAAACAGTTTTTTTTAATTGGTTTTTACAATCCATTTAATATCGATCGTAGATTGACCTGAACCACGTGTTCGAAGTAAAATGTAAACATGGAGTTGTCCAGTAAACGTTGTTATTCATTCAACGATTGGTCAATTGTTCGTGGTAAGATCCCCTATGCGCATTAATAACAATAGCCATATAAGGTAAACAAAGGTTCATTGTAAAAGATATTACACATTTTTTTAACAGCTTATTGGGCGATTTTAGAAAAAAAAAAAAGTCACTACTGAGCTCCAATTTTCGCCGTAAATTATCACAAAAGCGAAGATTAAGTAGATTGTGATTTTAATACCCCCTCCCCCACCTCCACCCCCGCCCCTATCTATTTAAAATCATGAAAATCTCTCAGAGAGGTCAGCTGGAAACACATTTTTCATAAGAAACAGACTATAGCAATTTCCTGTTTACTGCCAATTTTATTTATAAAACCGGTCCTACCCTATAACTTTGAATGGGTCAACTACACCACGTGTCTTGAATTTAAATCACAATAACATTAGTAGGGGTGTATAAGCAAAAATATAAATAGCTGATGACCATCCATACCAACAGGTATTGTTTTCCCACCAACTTTATCGGCGCAACCGGCAAAATATTTCAAAATGTTTGCTGAGAATAGCATCTCCACGTAGGCGTTCATATAGGGTTTTCCATTGTCATAGGTCTCAAGACTCTGTAAGCAAATACAGACATCATAGTACATTTCGTGGATATTTTTTAACAGAAAAGAAGGTTACCTCTTTTGTGGATGTATTAAAAAAAACGTGCCCCCAAATACTGTGCATCTCTCTCCATAAGCTGTGCGATTTTGTAGATCAGAGCACCTCTTTTGCTGGCATCCATACGTCGCCATGGTGATCCAAGTTTGAAAGCTTCTTTTGCAGCCTCGACCGCTTTGTCTACATCTGCCTAAAGAAACGAGGGGGAACATTTGAGTTAGTGAGCAAGGATAATTTCAACCGTACGATCGTTTATATCGTCGCAAGCTACGATTTCTCGGTACGTACTCTAAGCTTCCTACAAAAGGAGATCGCATCAGACCGAAAAGCCTTGGCTTGCGAAGATAGAGTTACGGGGACTGAAAAACCTTGGTGCATAGACTGGTCATTTAGCAAATCTTTATTTGATGTAATTAGAAACAATTCATTATTTTTTCCTTCTGGAGAACTCAGATGACTTAAATAAAAACGACCCGGAAAAAGTCATATTGCCAGACAAAGAAGGAAACTTCATCATGACAAGAGACATTACAAAATAAAAATGATTATACTTATCATAAAATGAATATGTGACCCCCCCCCCCCAATCTTTTTCTTTTAAATTAGAAAACAAACAACATCATTTTCCCTTATTCCTGTAGCAATACACCATTATCACCTGCATGAGATATATGTCTCCCAGTTGACTCGATACGAAAAAACATGTTCTTCGTAAGAAAAAAATTCTAAAAAGAGGCAGATTAGTGAAAAATAAGTTGATGATACAAGGGTACATACAATCTTGTTTAAACTCAACATTTTGCAAATTCCATCTATGGTCGATACAATGATCTTATTTTCAAATAAAATCCGTCGTTAGTCGAATGTTGACTGACGTCTTTCATACAAATTGTTAGGCCATTATTTTCATACTGAATTGACTACGGATTTCTCCCTTTATCCGGCGGTTGTGACCGGGGATGCTTACTCCTCCATGGCACTTGATCCCACCTCTGATGTTTTCAGAGGTCCATGTTTGCTCTGCTCACTGATTTTTTAGTATGATTACTTTTCGTTATCTTCACTTTTCACATTAAAGAATTTCTCTACATGGTCTTAAAGTTTACCTTGTCGCCCTCGGATACATCACAGATTTTCTCTCCGTTGACGGGATTGATGGTAGGAAATGTCTTTCCGCTGACAGAATCTACAAACTCGTTATTTATGAACAGCTGAAACCATAAAAAAATACAGCTTTACTATTTTTATAAATATGTATATATGTTTGTTTTCTTTTGTAATTCATTACTAATAATGAATTTTAAAAAAGTTAAGTTACGCCATTTTATAGGTCTGGTCAATTTGGACTAAGAGTCTTTTGAAAATAAACCAGCTTCAAAATTTGAACACGATGGCTTATCCAGACAGAATTCGTTTTATGTAGATGTCGCTGGTAGCATCATTCCTAGATGCAACTAACATGAACATTACGTGTAATAACTCAAGAATCGCAATGCTGCCAGTCATTTCTTTAGCCAACTCTAAACAATCTTTATAATGTCAAGGTTTTTTGAAGATGCCCCAAAACATGCTAAAGACGAAGGCTGACAACAAATGACGAAATGATATTGTGCATTCATTTCGTGTGCATTTTTTCTGAGAGGGAGAGGGGGAGGGATCGATGGGGCGGCTCAATCAAACGAGTTCAAACACCCCCCTCCCCCTAACACATACATTCATACATACATACATTGATATTTTACTGTGTTGCAGACTTACGTGAACCACTAATATTCGCGGTATTTTCACGATCAAATTCGCAACCGAACCACTATTCATTATAATATTACAAAAGCACACACATACACCCTCACACACACACAACTTTTTTGAATCACCAATTCGTTACACAATGGTATGATCGTATATATTAATAAAAAATTAATTAATGGAATGGGCATTTAAAACAATTAGAATTTTTCCATATAATCATGAACATATGTACAATGTACTATAAGACAAAAACAACTGTTACCCCCCCCCCCCCCCAACTTAAAAAAAAAGTATGATATTAAAAAAAACCACTTAAATAATATACTTGTATCACTGTCTAAAAATTGTACGTGTATATTAAACCTTGATATTTTTGTATATACAATGTATATTTAACTAAATATTTCACACATGCTCTGAAGAGCAGAGGAAATTCTGGTCGATAAAAACGATCTACTTCCACACTCTAAAAGTAAATTTGCCGTTATTTTTGTCAGTTGATCGAATTTACGAATTTAAAAAAAGAAACTCGAATAGTGAAATATTTTTATGGGGTGCCTTTGAATTCTTAAACAATACATTCACATCAATAAAATGATTACGGTATCGTGACCATCGTAACGATGTTTGACTCACAGTCACTGTGCCAACATAATTCTAAAGACTTGGTTCTTAAGTGCAAAGGCATATATTTATAATAATTTTATAAATAATATTTTAAAATGCAATAAGCAGTTGTACGGTTATATAGAAGTGTGGAAACAAATTATGTGTCTTTGTTCTTTCACACGTAAAGTCCAGCGATGGTCTAGGAGATATATTGATTATGCAAGGTGAAGCAAGACAAAGTGCCCTAATTAAGAGATAAATAAAAAATTGAAATTTGTTTGATAAAAGTTTCAGTTGGAGAGAATTTATGTTCTAATATTCTGATTATCACAGATCTTACTGTGTCGCAAAATTTTTACTGTGTCGCACGCATAAAATTTGAATCGTAACTGTGTCGGGGAAAATTTTACTGTGTCTGGGCCGACACAGTAAAATAGCTCATGGAGAACCCTGTTTTATATATATATAAATATATAGTTATGAAAAACTAAAATCTGTAAACATGCATTTCAACATATTACTAGTAACCTTAAAATAAATCTTGCATGCAAATCTCGTCACACAAGACCTTGTTTCTGCAGAATAAGATACACCGTATGTGTGCTACATACACAGTATATATGCCGAGTTCTACTTATCGACCTTGGCCTGTGGGAAGCTATACACCAGTCATAGATCGAAAAGTTATTTCTTATTTTTGACCTACCTATCCATTACGCTTCTTTCAAGTGTCCTTGCCCGTATAGTAAAAATATCATAAGATAAACATGTCGTACATCTGAGCTGTCAATTATCGTGGCCTTAACACACATTCTATTTTAATTCTACGATATGGGCGTCCTGAACGGATTTTTTTTTTTTACAGTTTGAGGAACAGTTTAAAAATCCACAAATTATATGCTTACCTTCGTGTATTTAATCTCTGGCTTACGTATAGGTTGTGGAAATTGTTCCATGTCGAAAATAATCCTTGAGTGATGCAGACACCGGCAGTCAGTTTAACTGTTTAAGGGAGGACTTGTTATCTTAGACTGATAGGTCGAATGTTTGTATGGCTGACCAGATGATTCTATAATATATGATGTGCCCCCAAGCGTGGTATGTTGACAATTTTGACAAAGTTGACACTGTGTTGATAGGACACATTTTACCCATGCAGTACACCAAAACACACATCACGAACTCAGTAACTCAAAAATACACACATCAGAAACTCGGAAACTTGATGCATATCACCCAGGCAGTACCTCACAACAAGACATATATGACCCACGCAGAAACCCAAAACAGGACACACATCACCCACGTAGTAACTCAAAACAGGACACATGTCACCCACGCAGTAACTCAAAATTTGACATAAATCACCCACGCAGAAACCCAAAACAGGACACATATCACCCACGTAGAAACTCAAAATTGGACACATGTCACCCACGCAGTAACTCAAAATCTGATATAAATCACCCACGCAGAAACTCAAAACAGGACACATGTCACCCACGCAGTAACTCAAAATCTGATATAAATCACCCATGCAGAAACTCAAAACAGGACACATTTCACCCATGCAGTAACTCAAAACAGGACATATATATCACCCATGCAGTAACTCAAAACAGGACACATATCACCCTCGCAGTAACTCAAAACAGGACACATATCACCCAGGCAGTAACTCACAACAAGACACATATCACACACGCAGAAACTCAAAACAGGAGACATATTACCCACGCAGAAACTCACAACATGACACATATCACCCTCGCAGTAACTCAAAACATGGCATATATCTCTTTCTTTGTCTTATATTTTGCCTCTCAATCTCATATCTCTGTCCGTCATTTTCTCTCTCTCTCTCTCTGCCACTTTTTTATTGCGTCTGTCAACGTCTGATCTCTTTTTGTCTTTATGTGAATCTGTCTCTAGGTCTGTCTATTATTTTGTCTATCAATATCTCTCTTTCTACCAATCTCCTTTTCATTCTGTCTCTGTATTTCTTTCCGTCTGTCTGTCAATCTCACTGTGTCTCTTTTTCTCTGTCAATCCCTGTCACCCTTTTAATGTCTGATTCTCTTTCTCTAGTTCTGTCTGCCAGTGTCTATCAATCTATGTCTATATCGTCTCAATGACTGACTTTCTTTCTCTGTCATTCTTTCTGTCTGCCAGTCTGTCATTCTTTCTGTCTGCCAGTCTGTCATACTTTCAGTCTGTCAGTCTGTCATTCTTTCTGTCTGTCAGTCTGTCATTCTTTCTGTCTTTTAGTCTGTCATACTTTCAATCTGTCAGTCTGTCATTCTTTCTGTCTGTCAGTCTGTCATTCTTTCTGTCTGTTAGTCTGTCATACTTTCTGTCTGCCAGTCTGTCATACTTTCAGTCTGTCAGTCTGTCATTCTTTCTGTCTTTTAGTCTGTCATTCTTTCTGTCTTTTAGTCTGTCATACTTTCAATCTGCCAGTCTGTCATTCTTTCTGTCTGTCAGTCTGTCATTCTTTCTGTCTGTCAGTCTGTCATTCTTTCTGTCTGTCAGTCTGTCATACTTTCTGTCTGTCAGTCTGTCATACTTTTTGTCTGTCAGTCTGTCATTCTTTCTGCCTGCCAGTCTGTCATTCTTTCTGTCTGTCAGTCTGTCATTCTTTCTGTCTGCCAGTCTGTCATACTTTCTGCCTGCCAGTCTGTCATTCTTTCTTTCTGTCAGTCTGTCATTCTTTCTGTCTGCCAGTCTGTCATTCTTTCTGTCTGTCAGTCTGTCATACTTTCTGTCTGCCAGTCTGTCATTCTTTCTGTCTGTCAGTCTGTCATTCTTTCTGTCTGTCAGTCTGTCATACTTTCTGTCTGCCAGTCTGTCATTCTTTCTGTCTGCCAGTCTGTCATTCTTTCTGTCTGTCAGTCTGTCATACTTTCTGTCTGCCAGTCTGTCATTCTTTCTGTCTGCCAGTCTGTCATTCTTTCTGTCTGCCAGTCTGTCATACTCTCTGTCTGTCAGTCTGTCATTCTTTCTGTCTGCCAGTCTGTCATACTTTCTGCCTGCCAGTCTGTCATTCTTTCTGTCTGCCAGTCTGTCATTCTTTCTGTCTGCCAGTCTGTCATACTCTCTGTCTGTCAGTCTGTCATTCTTTCTGTCTGCCAGTCTGTCATACTTTCTGCCTGCCAGCCTGTCATACTTTCTGTCTGTCATTTTTTTCTGTCTGTCAGTCTGTCATACTTTCTGTCTGCCAGTCTGTCATTCTTTCTGTCTGTCAGTCTGTCATACTTTCTGTCTGCCAGTCTGTCATTTTTTTCTGTCTGTCAGTCTGTCATACTTTCTGTCTGCCAGTCTGTCATTCTTTCTGTCTGTCAGTCTGTCATACTTTCTGTCTGCCAGTCTGTCATTCTTTCTGTCTGTCAGTCTGTCATACTTTCTGCCTGCCAGTCTGTCATACTTTCTGTCTGTCAGTCTTTCATTCTTTCTGTCTGTCAGTCTGTCATTCTTTCTGTCTACCAGTCTGTCATACTCTCTGTCAGGCAATCTATCTCTTTTTGGCGGTCATTTTTTGTCTCTCTTTCTATCTACAACCTTTACATTGTCATTACTTCCAATGCAATAAAAGAGACTTCACCTTTAGGTAGATGAAAGCGTTGTCTAAGATTTTTATTAAAAGAAAAATAAGTAACGTCAGGTGCTGCGGGAAACACCTATATCAAGAATGCTGATTACTTATCCAATATTCACGACCCAGAGCTAATACTTTATATAGGGACATTTTCGCCCCGTGTTATCTTCGCTCAATCACAACTTCAACCAAGTTTTGCCCGTTTAAAATTTGCCCACTCACAGTAAATGAGTTATGCGTAGGAGATAATGCTGTCTTCCTTGAATTCGCCCCTTTTAAAAATCGCCCACTTACAAAGCGCGCAAAAGGGACGAAAATAAACGGGAGCGAAATTTCCTAGCATAGAGTAGTATGATTTGGAATTGTCTTGACAATGGAAAAGTTTACTTGTCACGAAGCCTCAGTGACACTTATCCAGATAAGTTGTGATCCCATCTATATGATATATCCCATCCTTAGTTAAAAAAATCGTTTTCATACAGGTCTGACTTTTGGTGACTTCGACACCTGTATTAAGTCTCATTTCAGTAATGGAAATTTTAAATAAAAAAAGTCAGACTGCACTGGAAACAATCTGACAATTTCTTTTATATTGAACGTATGGGGTATATAATCTTAAGCAAGTTCAAAGGTACCAGCCATAGTCCCATAACTGAATTATAGAAGAAATTCAATTCAGTCCTAACATATTATGGGACTGCTTTGTGTTATTATTGGACTCCAAAAGGTGATTCTTTGAACAAAGAGAAGAAAAGATGACACCATGACATTGTTTTAATCCATGCTAATACGATAATCGGTCTTACTTTCTCAGTTTATCAAGGTTTTCTGATATCTGCTTCTTTTTTTCCAGTTAAGATAATCAATTATCTATATAAATGCGCTTATATTATATATGCCTAATATAGATAAGAGCGTATCCACAAGCTTAAAATAAAGAAGCAGCTGATATATATTAAATGTGTCACACTGTCCCATGAGTGGATCCAGAATTTTTCCAAGGGAGGGGCGGGTTGGGGTTCCTACCCACTCCAAAAAAATCTGACTTGGTAAATTTGACAAACGAATAAAAAAACTAGACGGTGTCATAGGACAGTAAACTCCGCACTTGAGTGTTTGTCTCCAAATGCATTCCATCGTACCTGGGTAACTCGCGAGGATTGATTGATTGATTGTTAAAATTTTGCAAGATTGAGACGTCACTAGATACCGGTGAAGGGGCTCAAACTCATTTTTTAAGGTTTCATCCGAAAACTTGCAACTTTCACTGAAAAGTGTCGCGCGCTATGCGAAGGAACAGTTGCTACCCATTTTTTTTTTTTTTGTTTAAATAAAATTGTGCGAACCAAGGACTTCCTAACAGCGGAGAGAGTGCCCTACCGACTTAGCCTACCCTGACGGTACTTTGATTCCATAGTTTTCTATAATTTAAATATGTATCAAATTGAGCATAAAACGCTCAGGTGAGCATGTGGCGCCATGAGCCTCTCATTAAAGTCTTTTATATAACAAATTCATTAATATGTCTGAAATCAAAGAATGATGCATATTTAAGCCTGTTTAAAAATAATTTTGGGAAGAAATTTATGCGAAAAGAGGTTTTTTAAAGTCTGCAAGTCCAGATACATATATTTTTGTTAGTATTTTCGTTTACTGATTTTTATTATACATGTAAAATTAAAGTCGTGTACATGTACTTATAATTTTCAAATAAAAATCAGAAAAGACAGCATGCAAGTCAAAGGATTAGTGAAACAAGTAAAAAGACTTATTGTAGAACAGGTTTTAGGTTTTCAATTTATCAATTTAGATGTGATTAGCAATGACGTAATATCAAAGTTTCATTTGTGATGAATAGTATTTCTTTATTCTGCAATGTATTTTTCAAAGTCTTTAAGATCATGTAGGCTATTTGGCACAGTTAATACTTTCAATACTTTCATGAAAAAACATAATAGATTACTAATTAACGCAACGAGTGTAGATAACATTTATTGTGAATACAAAAACATGTACTAGAAACCAAAACGGAAAATCGATCTTAAGATACATGAACTTTCTCACAAACTGTTTCACAATAGATTTCCATCCAAAAGACGTTATCAATACACATATTTTGAAGGAAATTATATATATATATATATATATATATATATATATATATATATATATATATATATATATATATATATATATATATATATATATATATATTCTACAACTGACTAAAAAGATACTAATATGCTTTTAAGACAGTATTATGCTTTCAAGACAAATACACATTGCAATTAATTGGCGGAATTAATTCATATTATCAAAGGTATAAAACTTTACTTTTTTAATGTTAAAATCAACCTGAGTATTCTCAATAAAGCAACACAAAAATGAATCTGCTTAATGCACTGAGCTGTCTAATTTCTTTGTTTACAATTATTAATATAAAAGAGAAAAACCAGGAATCTATTCTCACACGACACTTTTCATTTTTATTGGTACAAGCTATTAATTATTTACAATCTAAACTCTCTATGATTGCTAAAACTCTAAAAACAGTTTTTAGAAAACATACACAATTCTCTGACCGAAAAAATACACAGGTACAAATCTATGTCATCTCCTGACTGTAACAATTGGAGGTAGCTAATAGGTCCTACATCTACATAATACTATAGTAACAGTGCCCCCCCCCCTCCCTTTACTCTCTTAAAGTGCTTAATGAACAGCATTATTTCCTCTACAGAACAGACATTCATAATGACATATCAAAATCACAAAACTTCTCAGGTGTGGATCCAAAATTCTATTTTGTCCTTAAGGTCAGACGACACTTTCCTCAATAATATAATTTGTCATTGAAGTATTTCTACTTTAACAAGTTTCCTCACAAAAAATTGAGGCACCTTACCAGGCATTTGTGGAAGGTAACGGAGGATGGTGTTTCCTATATAATCCTTTTGGGAAATATTTGAATTGCTTATATCACAATTTTTTAGTCTTTATTTTTAAAAGATATTTTAAAAACAGTTTAGAAATAGCAAGTTAACAATACTTATAAACATTTTTGGTAAATTACGAAGAGACAAAAATGCAAATATTTGAGGAACGTGTCGTCTGACCTTAAAAATAAACGTAAGTTTTAACAGGTTGGGTTTGGTGGGATATACAATATTTACAAAATTCTGTTGGATTTCATGACCATATCTGGCAGATTAATATCAGGTTCTGGATTTCTATATCAATGGTAGATTTCCTCTTTTTCAAGAATAAATGCTCAGTTGGTGAAAATTCTTCTTTCCAATATCTGAGATGCTGCAGGAGTATGGGTATTCATACTTCATAACAAGAACACATGTACACATGTAAATGGACTATTCAAAATAAAAAAGCAAAAAAATAATATAACAAGTATTATGCCTAATACGAGTTTTAAATATTATTAACATCTATAATTCGTAAGTAAATACATATTGCCAAAATTAACAGCTGTTTAGGTACATTTCACCTTCTTATCGGTGGGCACATGGTTTTACAGAATTGACTAGACATGATTACCTGACTCATAGATTAACAATCATGTAAAATGACTTATCAATAGCAATCAAATTTCATTTTTGACACGTCTTTCAAAAACCAAAAATCTCTTCATCTTTAAATTGCTTTGGCAAGTGTTATAAAATTGGAAATACATGTAATAAAAAAGTAAATGCAGTGCATAGGATCGTATTTCTGCTTGTAATAATATGGCTATTCAACATTAAGATATATAAATCAAAAACGTAGCTAGCACTGCCGCTAAAATTAGACCGGAAGCTGATCGAACTGCATCTTGGGAGTTACAACCCTCTTTGTTGCAGTAGCAGGTATCCATGCTAAGATACTCGGCACATCCGCTGGGGTACCATGATTTCGTAGGACTTGTGGTGTTGTAGCAATATCTTGTGACAATTTCCTCTGGAAAAAAAAAAAACAAACAAACAAAATTAATTATTGCTTCAGTTCAAACTATTCAACAAAACTCAATGCACATTAATGCAAATTCATTTTTTCTCTTGTATCATGTAAACTGAAGAGACTGACTGGATGACCTTTACATTCATAACCATAATAAGAAATTTGAAAAAAAGCAAACTCAATTCAAGTAGTTCTTTCAGGCAAGTCCGAGGTTATAGAAATAGAATATCTACAGTATAATATCATACTTATCCTATCGAATGAAAAAAAAAATCCCTGTGCTTGAACATAAAGTTACATACTTCCGAAGTAGGCATTGGTGATCATTTTGCCACAGGCGCGTGCATTCTTAACACCGATATCGTCACAGGTAACAAAGACTCCGGCCTTCATCGCCTCATCCCTGGTGTACCCGAACTCCCTGCCGCATTTATCCCCATGTTTCGTATCCGCAGAGCTACAGACGTAGCATTTTAATGGATCTGTTGAGAAAAAAAAAAAAACAGAAATAGAGTTATTGTAGAAAAGGAATTTAGGTCAAAACTTAATTTCAGGGGATGCTTATTCCTCCTAGGCAGCTGATCCCACCCCTTGAATTTCCAGGGGTCGGTGTTTTATGCCCTGTTCACAGATTTGTATTTTTAAAAAGTTTTTTGAGATCGATCACTTTTCCTTATCTATACCTATTTCATTAAATTAAAACACGTTAGAGGGTGTCAAAAGGATGTGCACAAGTTGACTCAAGATATAGAAACTATTACAAAGTTAAAGTGAACTTAAGAGAATATCTGGTGGAAGGAGAACTATAAGCCTTATAGTTTTAGTATACCTATCTACCAAGTTTTAGTGTAATCACACCAAGACTGTACGAGTTATAGTGCTTTCAACTATAAAATAATTAAATATACAGGTGAATACATATTGATATTTTTACAGGCTTATTTTCACTCTGTGAAAAATAACAAGTGTCATTGTGTGAAAATATGAATTCACATATTTATATGTGAATATGAAAATATTAACATTTGAATATATTCATATTCACAGCACAATTTCCATATAGAGACAGCGAGTAGGGTCAAAAGAAAACTGTTAAAACGTGACAGAAAAATCAATGTTTCGTAGTTTGATATGGAATGTGTTTCATTCGTTTCAAAGAATTTTTATAAATATTTTCACTCGTGAAAATATTTTTTTAAAAATTAGCCCACCTATATCCAATTTTAAAACAATGAATATCTTGTATGCATCTTAGTATATAGCCTACTTGTTTTTCAAGTTTAATTGAAATTGTATCGGATTAAAACAACAGGAGTAGAATTTAAAAAACAACAACAACAGACAGATGGAGGGACGAAGACACTTTACCAAGTCACATAAGGTCTGCAGAAATAATTTTTCTTAACTCACCACAGTTGAGATAATCTATCTCCCCCGTCAATGGGTTCCGGACTTTCTTGATGTACTGCCCCCTAGCGGACGACCACTCGCAGCAAATATAGCCGTCAGGATTGTTCCAGGGGAAGCAAGTCTCCACATAAGGTTTACAGGAATTGGACTTGCAAACATTTACTGCAAACGAAAATATTCTAGCTGTTATATATTATGTCTTTTTCCTTCACCACAAAGAGAGCAACTTCAGGATCATTCATCTTCTGATAAGAGAAACACCTCCTACTGCTGAAGTTGTATGTTTAAATAATAAATTAAACTTCTTTTTTAAAAAAAAAAACATTAGCATAAAATCAAAATTTCATAAGATTAAACAGAGAGATGACGAATTTTAAAAATTTTGAAATACTAAGATGGGATATTAATCAAGGTTGGTTTGCACTATTTAGTATTTACTGAAAATGTGACGGTATTATAAAAGATACATGTACAATGATTGATGTCTAGTTCAGCAACTCAAAATAAGAAACATTCGTATTGGTTCCCAATTTGTGGATTTAAATATATACATGTACATGTACTAGTCTACAAATGTATTCTTACAAACTTTCGTGAAAGAGAGAGAACTCCTAAGTCGTTACATTCCAAATCAATTTATGTTGTAGTCATCATAATAGATGGTCAGTATTATATTTTATTATCCGTTTGCTTTACTTTCTCATTTGTCAAATCTACACAGTTGAAATTCCAGTAAATTATTTAGAAAAAAAGTTAAAAATAAAATGGATAAAGTTACATGTATTGGGTTGTCATTATCATCGATGAAAAACGGCACAACTTACATTTATAGTTTTACTCAAGATTTAACACCCCCCCCCCGATAAGTAAAAAGACTTTGATGGTGTTTCTGGTCATTTTCTATGTAGTCTACATCATTGGAATACGAAATCAACTTGTATTAACTCTAAAAGAAGTTTTCTGAAACAAAAAAGGGTTATTTAAGGAGGCTCTATAAACACTGCACACTGAAGAGTTCTAAATTCATGGAAGTTCTATACATGCAGTTAGAGCAATCTGCCCTTAGATGTAAGATTAATAAACGGAGTGAATGATGCAAATCAAAATATATTAAAGTATTCTTTTCATTACATTCGACCAAGATAAGATTTCGCAATATATGCAAACAGCTAGCAGTGATTTCTGTTCACTAAATCGATCATTTTTCCTGGAGAAAAAGCAGGTACCCTAAGTTGAATTATTCAATATGTACGTGATGTAATCTGATTTTTTCAACGTGAAAAAAAATAAATATTTTTAAGTGCTGATAGCCTCTTTAAAATTCAATTTCTTTGAGGTTCAAAGCTTAAAGTCTTTGACTACAACAACACATCACATACAATGAAACGCCTATGGGGAAGTAAAAGGCATACGCCCAACACACACACACACACACACACACACACACAGAGCATAATTAAAACTTGGTGGTCTTTGTTTCCAAGTACCCTAAACAGGGTATGAAACACAAAATTACACAGGCATACCGAGATAAATGTTTCGGCAATTTAATTCATTATCACACATTTAATCCAGCTTGACTGCCTTAATTACTGTGTACTATTACAAGGACACTCTTTGTGAAATACACCCCCCTAAACAGAAGCTGGTGTCCTTCCACAACCAAGCATTTGACTTTGTAATGATAATGAATTTTAAATAAGTAATGCTGTAGAAATCAATATAGTTATTTCAAAAATATTCAAACAAATCTTCAACTACAAGAGGCATACCTTGAGTAAAGACAGACGACACACAGAAAACGGAGAACAACAACACAATGTTTACAAGCGTCTTCATCTTGGGAAAGGTGAAATAACCGGCATCCATAAGGTCAACGCCAGACTGTGCGCATGCTTGTATGTGTTCTATTGATTAATTCCTCAGGCTTTAGGGCTATAAGTTAAAGAAAGACCGCGTGTGAATCAATTCTTTTTCTATCGACAACAAGGCGATTAAGCTGGAGCCCGGAGCTGAGGAATTCAATAGAAGTTTAATCTGCTTTAATAATAAGCAGTCGGTCATTTAAGTTTTTTTTTTCTTTTTTGTGAGGACGTACGGGTCTGTCACATAGAGAGAGAGAGAATTAATCGCCAACTGAGTTTCGTGAAAGTGCAAGGAAGCGCGTCCCGTTGTTTTTAATAATTCCTATATAAAAGAAGTTTCTGAACATGCTTTTATCATTTTTCCGTGTGAAATGCTCTAACAACATATATGATATTATGCAGGAATTGGACTTGCAAACATATTATGCAGAAATTTTCAGAAAACATTAACTTCAAATTAATTTATTTGTGTCCAAGCCCGTTTAACACATAAAAGTCATACTTCAATCAATACTTAATTTATAACAAAATCAACGTAATTCCGTTTTTGAGCTTTCTGTATTGGCACACGAATGTCGATGATTACTATATTTATGAATACATGAATACACACGTGCACATTTCAAAATAAAAACAACAACAACATTTTTTTGATTTCTTTTCTTGGAATTTTTTTTATACCTCTTGACTTTTTTTAGAGTTGATTTTGAACAATAAGGATATATAAGGTCGATATGTAAGATTTTATTTGTAATAAAGTAATCGTAGACTTGCTTTTGTAGATGTATAATTTTGGTTTAATCACAATTTATTTAAAGACTATTCAAAAAGTATAAATTAACAAATAAGTTATTAGAAAACAAGTACACGAGAGATATGCACATTGTCTTATTTATGAAGAAATATTGTCATCAAGTTGGATTCATTAATAATTTTTTTTCCTTTATTTTTTTTTAATTTCTTTAAGGAGGGATTCTTGTCTGGTTTCTGACTAGATGAAATATTCAAAGTATATTTGCCTATATGTCTTACAGGCGCGGATCCAGGAACTTTTCCCGGGGGGGGGGGGTCCAACCCCAGTCAAAAAAAATTTTCCAACCCAAAAATTTCTTGACAAGCAAAAAAAAAAAAAAAACAAGACAAAGCAAAAACAAACAAACAAATAAACATCAAATAAAAAAAAAAAACACACCAAAAAACCAAAACAAACAAACAAACAAAAAAAAACCAACAAACAAACAAACTAAAACAAAAACGTAAATTCCATTTCCCAAACGTGAAAAACACCGATTTCGTGGTGGTGATGATGAGGTCCGCGTTTTCTAAGGGGGTCCAAAGTCATTTTTTATTTGCTTCAGCATATACTTTTAATAACTCTCCAAATTCCAAGGGGAATAGATCACCGCATGTCTTTATATATTTAGATGTAAGGGATTTAAAAGATCATATTTTCCTTTCCTCAATTAGAGTTAACTCATCATAATTGTACAACTTTAAATAGAAATGGTAAACTGAGTTTGAAATCTAGCAGGGACTATATTTTGGCGGAACGGCGGCGTATGAAAATATCTCCTTTTCTGCTTCTCAAAGTTACTATAGAACAACGAATTTACTTAAAACGTTTAAACAATCAGAGACTTGAAAAATTTTCAAATGTAAGTAAAATTAATAATAATGAACTAAAGTTTTGAAATATATCAAATAAATATGATTTTCCAAACAAACTACAATTTTATTAGCTTTTAAAAGCTTCCAATCTGAGTATAAACTTGAGAAAAACAATCAATTGAAAGTTTTTTCTCTCTAAGTAAGCGGTCAAAACTTTCGTATATGGTATTTTGTATTTGATAATATTGTCCTCTACAAAAATTTAGAATTTTTCAATTCAAATTTGTATATGACAATACACCAAATTTTCTATTTTAACAAAAATTTGTGGAAAGACAATATCTTTTTACGCAAAAAGAAAGACATTTAATCTTTTGAAATAGAAGTAGGCATGACCTGATTGGCAATTGTAATTTTTATTCTTAATGTCAAGGGAAAAGATAATGACCTTGACCTGACCTTGCTTCTAAATTTAAAATGGTCAAATTTAATCTAATTGATTCCATCACTTAGTGAAATTGTCTTCTTGAATCTATAAAAATTTCATTAATTTTTAAATACAAGAAATATGAGAAGAATCCCTCCTTTAGGTAATATATATTTTTGGAAAGATTTATTTGGTTATTTTAGAGGATTTATTACTTAACTGAGCTACACCTACCGAGACTGTTAACTCTGATTGAAAATTCATTAATATTAATTCATTTAATAAACGACAGATTTCCCTGTAAATATTTTGACTTGGAATTTTAATTCTTAAATTGAAAAAAAGTCCACGAAATGACAAAAATGACAAACAAGGAAAAAAAGAAAGAAAAAATGCAAAATTTAAAATTCTGTAATCCAGGGGAGGAGGGGTTGATTTTAGGTAACTATAATAACTTTGGAGGTCAACCAGTCTCTGGTTAAAAACTTTCATACAAAAATTTCCATTATTATTGGAAATGGAAATATTTAAATACCGTTACAGTTAAATTTCCAGTTTGTTTAGTTTCTATGAACTTATAAATTAGCTGTAGTATGCGACTTTTTCCATTACCTTTTCCGTGTTATTTTCAATGTCTCTGACAACTAAATTCTCGAAATATTTTCTCCAATTATTTTCAAAATCCTGTTATAGATACTAAAGGCCTGTTTAGCTTTTGAACCAATAACAACATCAAGTTTTTTTTTTCGTATACAGTTTTGTGAACAATTTTTTCAATTTCCTGTAAGTTTTTCGTCTTCATGTAAATATGGCATTTGAGTTCTCCCGTTTTCATTATTTCGGGAATTTATGTTCCGTATCCATTTTGTTTTCGTTATATGTAACTATCTTCCTTTTCCGGTAAATCGTCGTAAACATGGTTGGTTTAATGATTATTCACTATAAAATCTGTCACAATCTACTTTTGTCCATACGAAGAGGTCTTTTTATTTTATTTAAAATATACACGAATGAATGGCGCAACAAATAAAGGTTACAGGAACATCAGATGATTTTAATTTTCAATAGAAACACCTGTTTAATCGAGACATGACGATTTAATAGTCGTCTTGCACAATTTTCAGAAATTGAAAATATAAGAACGTTTAACAGTTCCTAAAAGATAAAGTAGAAATGATGATTGAGCGAATGAAAGTGTGTGAAGAATTCCATGTAAAAATTCATAAATTTGACATATAAATACAAGCCTTAAACATACCAAGTCGCATATAAGTCCCTTGCTCAGTTGCTGTTTGGAAAAATTAGTTCAACTAAAGCACACTGTATGATGTTTAGGAGGAATGGGGTTAAATTTAATTCGCATTTCACTTGATCTTTCAAAACCTGTGATCAATATGCCCATTGAACCCAAGTAATCTGATGTATTTCAGGCAGAAGTAGACGAGAAAGAATTGGCTGAGAAGAAGAAGAGGCGCACTTTCAGGAAATATGCGTACAGGGGAGTTGATCTTGACCAGCTGTTGGATATGTCCAAGTATGTTTGAAACCATCACTCAACTTGCCCAATTGGAATATATAATGGCCTGTTTGGGATATAACCTGAGCCCTTCTCTGGTGTTACCAGGGGTCTGTGTCTTGGCCCTGTTCATGATTCATTTTGTTAACTAGATTTCCGAGATTGATCACTGTTCATTATCTTCACCTTTTACACATTGGGCATCATTGGCAATCAAGTTTTTGTATAACTCTAAAGTTTGTGAGATTGATCCCCTAGAAGTTTTAGGTCTTCTTTTGGATCAATGTCATACACATTAGGGGTACAGAAATAAGCTTTACATCTTTGAGCATATATAACTGTTCCAATGAGAGAACTTGTAATCCTTCATATTCATTTGGAAATTTTTATCATTTCAATGTGAGATGATCCCTGATATCATATTAAGTTCATTTTTTTTTCTAAAAATGATCTTCAATTTGAGACTTCTTCAAAGAGTGCATGATACCTAAACTAATTAAATTCTTAATGACCTAGACGTTATCAAAGATGTAAAGAAAATTGAAAGTGCTTTTAATATTATTGTGTAAGTATTCATATGTTATTTTGTTTAATTTCTAGTGAGCAGTTGATGGAACTCTTCCCCTCTAGAGCCAGACGCAGGATTTCTCATGGTCTGAAGCGCAAGCCTCTCGGCCTCATCAAACGTCTTCGTAAGGCCAAGAAAGAAGCAGGTCCACTTGAGAAACCAGAGGTAAATTGATGCTTCGAACATGCATTAGGCACAGAGATGTATTTTAAAAATGGTTTCTTTACGTGACCCAATTTTCCAATCTGAGAAATGAAGAAAAAAATTTGAAATGGATAAGTGCATAAGCACTTAAGTTATTGACTATAAATGAAAAAAAAACTGAAGTGGATAAGTGCATTAGCACTGAAGTTACTGACTTTATTAAAGGTATTATTCTGTCATTTAGTATGCTTGTTTGGTTTGTAGGTAGTGAAAACTCACCTGCGTAACATGATCATTGTCCCAGAAATGATCGGAAGCATCATTGGAGTTTACAATGGCAAAACTTTCAATCAGGTGGAAATCAAGGTACTTGTAGCATATCAAAGCTTTATTTATATATTAGTGTTATAGACTCATTGTGCACTAGCTGCAGGCAAGTGCACAATGTGTCAAAACCTGACTACTGTTTTGGCATAGTACATACAAATAATAACACTATTATAATTATCATACTGACTTTTCTCTGTATATGACAAATTTATTAATTAAATAAATTCTCAATCCCAAACCTGTTTGCAGACATAAAATCTTATTGAAAATTTTCTGAGGGCTCCAGCCCGAGGTCCCAAAGTACTGAAAAAAACTGCCTTGCTTAAAAGGAGAGTCAACATTAATGTGTTAGATTCAGCAGGATGTAGGAATATTGACTCTAATTTTTATTGAAAATATTTGATGACCCAAAACAGAATTAAAGACAAGAATTCCAGTGATGAGATTTCAGCACAAGGT